AGCAAGCTGACCCCTCAGTGGAGGTCCTCAGTCCTATAGCTGCAGGGAACCTGCAGTCTGCCAACAGTCATGTGATGAGACCCAGGAGACCTTGGCCTTAGCGGATACCTGGTTTGCAGATTTGGGAGATCCTGAGCCTTGGGCTCAGGAACTGTGAAATCAATATGTATGAATAGAGCCCTCAAAGGACCATGCACCAAAGGCCTTCCCAGGGAGTCCTTAGATTATTGGGGGTGTGCCCTTGAAGGGAGTGGTGGGACCCTGAATCTGTCTCTAACTGCATCCTGGCTCATGATGGAGGGGTTTGTTCTGATGCGGCATCCTACCATCCAATCCAGGGCTCTCTCCGGGAACCTAGAGCAAGGGGGCCACTAATCTCTGGCTGGAGCATCCAGATCTATGAGTCACATGAGCCTTCTATCTTGCTAATGTAATTGCCTCAGATTTCATTGTAGTAATGGAAACTGACTAGTACAGTTATGTGGTGATAGAACACTGATACAGTGGCCAGTTCCACAGCAACAGCAGTATAGAACTGGCTCATAGAAGTCCTGAAAGTTGTTCTGGCTGACCCCAGTGTTGTTTGACTGATGGTCATACTTTAACTAGAACAGTAAGTACACTTCCAGTAGCCCAGTAAGTGTTTGTGTCCAAATAAGTTTGAAGCCAATTTTAAAATTATATACATAGGTTGAAAAAGTTCATATTTCATTCTTATAAATTTTTTTTAGTTTTATTATTTTTATTATTTGAATTTTTTGTTTTTGGTCTTTTTGAGACAGGGTCTCCCTGTAACCCCAGCTGGCCTGGAACACACTATGTAGACCAGGCTGGCCTTGAACCCATAGAGATCTACCTGCCTCTGCCTCCCAAGTGCTGGGATTGAAGGCATGCACCACCATGCCTCGACTATTCTTATTTTTTATTTATGTGTATGTGTACATGTGGGTACCTGAGGCCACCAGGGGAGCGGCCAGATTTTTATTTGTTTAGATTTTTATCACAGTTACAGGAGTTAGAGGCAGTTGTAAGCTGCCATGTGGGTGCTAGAAATCGAATTCTAGTTCTCTGAAAGAACAAGTGCTCTTAATTGCTGACCATTTCTTTAGCCCTATATTTCATTCTTAAGAACCGTCAGTTGGATGTCCACTTGATTCTGCACTGCCTTTCAGTGCTTGTGCTGCTCTGCCCACGGCCCTGCCCCCAGAGGCTTCAGGGCGCTCTGCTCCTGTGTTGCATAACACTTGACTCTTAGAATTGAAAATTAACAAAAAATGTACTTGAAAATATAATTGTGGGTTCCCTGCAGTTGTAAGATCGACGCAGAGATGCCTCTTGTGTACTTTGCTCAATTTCTCCTAAAGATAACATTCTGGGGTTTTTATTTGATTTGATTTAAAAAATTATTTTATAATTTTTAATTGAAATTTTTGTGAATTTCATACAGTATATTTTGATCACATTTAGACCCCCTTCCCTATCTGCACCCTTGTTTTAGCTCCCTCCCCCACCAGATTTCATGTATTATTCGGTCATATATCTTAAAGGCCTGTTGAGCCAAGTTTGTGTTTCCACATGTCCTTGGGTGTGTGTTCATCCCCTGGAGCCTGGTTAGCCTATCTAGTGTGATATCCTTAGAGAAAACCAATTCTCCTTTTCCCAGTAGTTATCAGTTGCCAATAGTTCCTCAGCTAAGGTTGGGGCTTCTTCCACTTCCCCACTTCTATGCTGGGATTTTCTCTGGCTTGAGATTACATAGGTCTATGTGCATGTTGTCACCATTGCTGTACGTTCCTATGAGTAACTTTCCAGCTGTTTCCTTGTGGTCATCTGCTACCTCTGACTCTTACAATGTTTCTGCCCCATCTTTTGCAATGGTCCCTTGGGTGGCAGAGGTTTGGTACAGGTGTCCTATTCAGGAATAAGCACTCTACGGTCTCTTTTATCTGTACTTTGGCCAATTGTGACTTTCTGGGTTGTTCTAGTTCACCTTCAATTGCTCTGACCAATACCAACTTGGGGAGGAAAGGGTTTATTTGACTTACATCTCCTGGGTCACAGTTCATCACTAAGGAAGCCCAAGGTAGGAACTCAGGGCAGGAACCTAGAGGCAGGAGCTGAAGCACAGGCCATGGAGGAATGCTGCTTACTGGCTTGCTCCCCCAGCCTGTGCTCAACCTGCTTTCTTACAATACAGGACCACCTGCCCAGTGGTGGCACCACCCACAATTGATTGGACCCTCCCAAATCACTCAACAATCAAGAAAATGCCTCACAGACATGGCCACAGGCCAGTCCAATAGAGGATATTCCCCAGTTGAAGCTCCCTTTACCCCGGTGTGTCAAGTTGACAAGTAAAGCTATCCAGCACATGGGTTAATCACCATCTTTTGCATGAGGAAGGTTTGCTGATGAGAGTTGAGAGATATATTAATGTTCCGTCCCCTGTTCTGCTATGTTCCCTGAACCTTAGGTGCAGAGGTTGAATTGTAGATATGTGTCCCTTAGGGCTGGGCACCTCACAGACACTTATTCTCTGTGTTTGACTGGTTATGGAACTTTTTAATAGTCTCCATCTGTTGCAAAAAGAAACTGCTTTGATGAGATACACTTATCTATAAATATAAGGATACATATTTAGAATACAGTAAGAAATTACATTGGTCTGGGGATGTGACAAAAGTAGATTTTTCTTCAGGATCTATGATCTCTACAACCATGAGTGTTTGGCTATGTTCACAAAAGAGTTTCCCTCCCATTGAGCAGGCCTTATGTCCAGTTCGACAGCTGTTGATTACTCCCCCAAGATAAACATGCCATGCTGAGCTGGTTGTTGTGGTTTATAACTTTACAGCTACATGGAATCATCAATTTGTTTTTTCCCTTGGTAGTTTGCATAGTATTGTCAGGGAGGAGGCTTCCAGATCAGTTCCAGCTTGATTGCTACAAGTCCTGTCTGAAGACTGTCCTGTCTTCAGCAATAGTGTCTTAGCATCAATTTCTGGGAGACAATCAGGGGCTGTGGCAATAAACCAAGTTATTTTGGAAGTTTCTTGGACTACCTTGACCAACGACTTGAAGGGAGGTTTCCCCTGCTTGACACTGTGGTTTTTTTTTTTTTTTACCTTTTTGAGACCAGGTCTACCTGTAGCCCCAGCTGGCCTAGAACTTACAATGTAGACCAGGCTGGGCTTCAACTCACAGAGATCTGCCGGTCTCTGCCTCCTGAGTGCTGGAATTAATGGTGTGCACCACCACACCTGGATGGCACTGTGTTTTTGTTATACAGCCTTCTGCTGTACACTGTACTGATATATACATACATATACGTATGTATATGTATATATTATGTGTGTTTTTCAGTAGGCTTTTGAACTAATACATTTCCCTCTGGTTTTTCACACTACCTAAGTGTTATCTCTCCTCTCCCCCCACCCCTATATAACTGTCCTTGTTCCCTCCCTAGTTAAAGTAACCCCATTTTCCCCATTTCCTCCTTGATAACACCTGTCTCTTATGCTCCCTCTCTCTTGAGCTCCTTCTTCCCCTTTACCCCCATGGTTCTTTTTCATTTTCCTGGCTTTTGTGTTTACACTGGGGTTTATACTCACATCTAAGGATTTGGAGCTAAGATTCACAAATGAGAGGGAACATATGTTGCTTGTTTTTTTCTGAGTCTGTTACTTCACTTAGTATAACAGTTTCCATCCATCCATTTACCTGCAAATTTCATGATTTTATTTTTCTTTACTGCTGAGTAGAACTCCATTGTGTAGATGTATCACATTTTCATTATCCATTCATTGGTTGAGGGGCATTCAGATTGTTTCCATTTCTTAGCAAGCTAGTGTGGAGCTCTCAGTCAATGCGAAGGGGACTAGGCCCAAGGCAGGATGGTTGGGATCTTGATTTGATTTTTATCACAACTACCACTAGTTCTACAATGCTGGCTCACTGAAAGGCAGATAGCGCCATCTCATGGTAACCCATGGGCTACCAGGAGCTCCTGGTGATCCAGGTCCATGCCCATGTCCCCTCACACATTTCATGTACCTCTGGTGAGTCTGGAGTTGGCATCCTGGTCCATGTTGTGCTTTTACCAAGACTACAGGAACCAGGTCTCAGACAGAGGGTGGCTTGTAAATGTGAAATTGAGTCTCAGTTCTGGAGGCCACAAGTCCAAAAATAAGGTGCCAGCTGTATCCCCATAACCCCCCTCTCCCAGTGACAGCCTGTCTCCTGCCTCCCCAGGTGTCTTGATGGCCATCTTTGATGCTGTGTGTGTATGTGTATCTCACTGCAGGTACCTGGGCTGGTCTCAAGCTTACTATGCAGCCTAGGCTGACCTCATCATCCCCTTTCTCTACCTCCTTAGTGCCAAACCTAGTCAGATAGGATTGGGGATTACCCCAATGACCTCATTTTAGCTTGACTGCCTCTGTCAACCCCCTATCTCCAGGTCAGGTCATATCCTGAAGTATTGGGGGTTCAAGTGTTCAACAGGGGTTTCTGGGGTTACTGTCTAGCTTATAACACAGTGCTAAGTGGTCCATTTAGTCTTTACTCTGTGAGTGTCTCCTGTGAGAGACACAGGCAGCGTTAAGGTTGCTGCCCTGAGGCAGCCAGCATGGTTACAGAAATTGGAGGCAAGTGGGAAGCCACCCTGGGCTATGCCGACTTCAGTTGCCTCTGTGTCTTGGACTCTCAGCACCACTTTTACCTGCTGGCCTCATTCTCAGCACCTTCTTGTTCTAGGGAGCATGACAACAGCAGCCCCATCCTTCCATCTCATGCACTTCCCCAAAACAGCAGAGAGGAGTGGAGCTGGCTCAGCTTGTGCAGCTGTCCCTTTGGTTGTCCAGACCTGGGTCTAGTGGCTTCAGGGGTATCTTGTCTGAGTTGGGTGCTACAGAAGGGAGGAAGAATGCTGGTACTGCAGGACAGCAGATACTGGTGATGCATCTTTCCTAAGCATGTGATGGGTGCTGTGCTCCCCCCAGATCCAGGAGTGGGAGAACCGAATCTTTACCCAGAGTAAGGAAGCCGCAGCTCCTGGTGTCATCCTAGATCAGAAGGTGAAGATCCAGAGAAGGATCAAGATCCTAGAAGACCAGTTGGACAGGGTGTGTGGCTGTATGCTCTCTAGGCTGGACCTCAGGCCAGGATGGAAGGGTATCAGGAAGATGAATTTCTGTGGGCTTGAAGGTCCCATGAGAAGGAAACCGAAGGATCCTAGGGTGGACTGGTGTCAGGACCTAAAGAGGGAACAGGCTAGTCCCTACCTCTGACAGGTGCCAGGTCTCTTATATAGTACTCACCTCCCTCTCTAGGTCACTTGTCATTTTGATATCCAGCTGGTGCGGAATGCAGCCCTGCGGGAGGAACTGGAATTGCTACGCATTGAGAGGGGCCGCTACCTGAACATGGACCGCAAGCTGAAGAAGGTTGGGGCAAGGGGACCTGCCCCCTTTACCCGTCTGCTCCAGTTCTGTGCTCACAGGTGGAGCTGCTAGGGAACACATATACCACAGAGTAGGGGGAGTAGAAGGATGCCTCTTATTCCTATAATGTGGGGTCAGACTCCATTCCCACCTCTGTGGACAGCAGTCTCACTTTGAATACTGTCACCCAGGGTAACCCATGAGCTAGCCAGGTCACTCACATCCCTTGAGAGCTGAGTGCCTTCAAAACTGTCTGAAGAGTCAACCAAACCAAACTTCCAAAGCCATCCCAGGGAACATCACAACTCTGCCCCCTCATTTCTAGCTGCCCTGTATATTTGTTTCCTCAGTTTCTGGTTAACCATCCTGGGTTTTTTTCTGCAGAAGTGTGTATATTTGTTGTGCCCACATGTGTGTGTGTTTATGTATCTGTATCTGTACATGGATGTGTAAAATTTCTGTTTTTTCTTTCTCTTGAAAGATTGCTTTTTACCCAAAACATGTGGATACTTCTGTGGAGTCAGAAAACAGAACAGTGGGGTCATAGTCTGTGTTAGTCTGTCGATACAACAAAGTACCTGAGGCTGGGTACTTTATAGAGAAAAGAGGTTTATTTAGCTAGCGTGGTAGAGGCAGAGAATCCAAACTGCATAGTACTGGTCTTTCCATGGCTCTCTTGGTGCACCACACCGTGGTAGACAGCATAATGCCTGAAATACAGGGTTGAGGGAGATGGCTTATCAAGAGGGAGAAGGAAGGATGGACTCAGAGGAAGAACCTCAGTTTCTTCTGAGATCAGTGCCTTTAGCAACCTCATCATCTTATAGTCAGTCTTACCTCTTAGAAGTCCCAGGATCTCCAAGCATTGCCATCTCAGGACCAAGCTCACACCCCAAGATCCTTGGGGGATACACCATACTGAAATCTCAGTATAGTGATGAAACCTAAGCAGGTTCTCCAATCCCATGAGGAATTTTAGCTGGTGCTCCCCCTGCCACATCCTGTCCCTGAACTTCCTCTCAGGACCTCATTAAAACCCCACCCTTGGGCAGCTGCTCAGAGGAGGGTCGGAAGTGGGAGGTATAGGACCATCACTAATTGGTGGGAAATATGGATAAAGTCTGCTCATTGTGTTCCTGTAGGAGATCCACCTGCTTCTGGAAATGGTCAACACTCTCAGCATGTCCTCCACTTCTGCCTATACTGCCAGGTAGGCCTCAAAGGTATGTAGGTGGCAGTGCCCAGGGGCAGGAAGGCCCCAAATAGTTCTCCAACTTTGTGGCCAGGCCCTGTTCCTTGGGTGTGTGAATGGCAAGTTCTGTTTGTTAAAGCTTCATGCCTAAGATGTGCTCAGGGTTGGTTACCAGGGGCCAGGAACCCAGAAGGTATCTGGCCATGGAGAACTGTTGGCTGATGTTGGCTGCAGGGATAGAGAGACAGCCTTCAGGCAAAGATGTGCTGGATGGGATTGGGATGTGGAAGTTGCTTAGATGCTGACTTCCCTGCTGGTCCTGGCTCTCAGGCTCGGGGCTCTCCTCTTCATCTCTGCCTCTTAGCTTTCCCCTGCTCTCCTGCTTCACATATGTTCTCACCTCTGCTTAGTGCCTACTTCCTCCTTCAGGACCTTTGTGTCCTTAGATCGTAGTCAGGCCCATGCCCAACTCAGCCTCCTCCTTCCCTCCCTCTTGCCATTCTTTTTCAAATGCACAAAATATTCACTATTAAAAAGTGTACAGCACTGCTGGGTATGATGGCGCATGCCTTCAATTCCTGCACTTGGAAGGTAGAGGCAGGAGGGATCAGAAGTTCAAGGCTAACCTCGGCTATGTATCATAGATGAGGCCAGCCTGGATTACATGAGACCCTGTTTCAAACAACAGCAAAAGTGTACAGATTAGTAGCAGTCACAATGTTGTGCAACCATTGCTTTATCCAGATCCTTGAGCAGTGACTGACTCCTAGGCCCCTGGTAACCCCACTTCTCCTCTGTCTTTTGTTTTACATGTCCTGGATGTTCGACGTAAATGGAGTCAGAGGTTTGTGCCTGTTCTTGTCTACTGCACATTCCTTCCTGCTGCTGCTGGTTCTGTGATTTTCTCTTTTTAAAAGTTTATTTATTTGCGGGGCATGGTGGCGCACACCTTTAATCCCAGCACTTGGGAGGCAGAGGCAGGCGGATCTTTCTGAGTTCAAGGCCAGTCTGGTCTACATAGTGAGTTCCAGGACAGCTGCTGGGGCTATAGAGAAACCCTGTCTCAAAAAAAAGACCCCCCAAAAATGTAGCAGTGTATCTTCCAGGATTTGTTAAAAAAAAGTTTATTTATTTATTACTTATTTATTATTTATTTATTAATTATTTGTGCATGCTCATGCCATGGTGCATGTGTGGATTCAGAGGATAACTTTTGGGTGCTGGTGTTTTCCTTCTACCCTGTGGGTCCCTGGGATTGAATTCAGGTTGTCAGGCTTGGTTGCAGGCTGAGCCATCTTGCAGGCCCAGGCTATGATTTCTTACTTTGTCCCACACCACCATTCAGGGCCTCATTCATGCACAGCTTCAGCTTCCCCACACCTTGGTTGATTTGTGACCTCCAGGCTTTTCTCTAGCTTTGACTTCTCCTTCTCACCTTGCTCTCCCAGTTCTAACTTTGAGAGAGGGTGTCTGACTTGTCCACTCATCCTCTGCTAGATGGCCTAGTAGCCTGTCTGTGCAGCCCTCTGCAGTGAGCAGCCAGGTAGCTTCTGTTCCAAGGAAGGCCTTGTGGCCTGACTGAAAGGGCCTTAAGGCTGGGGCTTGCAGTTATCAGGGGAGGCTGTGTATGCAGGAGGAGGGCCCAAGTTAGCCCTCAGGCGTGGTGCTGAGTAGAGGCCCCCAAAGTAGACAGAGGTGAGAAGATCAGAACTAGAATGGTCTAGGGCGGGTTCTTTGGGGCGATTGGCTGCTGCACCTATCCACTCAGTGTCCCTGTGACCTCTGATCTTGGGGTATCTCAAATTTGCCATGGGTGGCATTCTCAAAGCTTCAGAGCCACATTCAGAGTGCAGTAGGGCAGAGGTGTCAGCACGAGTTTCCAGGAGTCTTCCTACACTAATGGGGTACGCTGGAGTGGGAAGATGGACTGCCCCAGACTCCCATTTTCAGCTACAGAGCCCTGAGACTCCAGTGCAGTTACTTGACCCCCAGGCTGACCATTCTGAATCTGGGCATAATCTCTGTTGGGGCCCCATCGCCATGCTTTACCTTTCTGAGTGGTCACATGATTCCTGGCCTCTGGGTGCACCTGTGTGTCCACCAGGCAGCCCACATCTTCCAGCTTACCAGTCCTCTGCCTTCTGTGAGCATCCTCAGGCCCCCTAGGCTGACTCTTGCCCAATCTCCCATCTTCCGGTGCCTATTGAACCCCCACAGGGAGGAGGCCAAGACCAAGATGGGCATGCTGCGGGAGCGTGCGGAGAAGGAGGAGGCTCAGAGTGAGACAGAGGCGCAGATCTTGGAGCGACAGATATCACATCTGGAGCAGCTGCACCGCTTCCTGAAGCTCAAGAACGATGACCAACAGCCTGATCCTGATGTAGTGCAGAAGCAGGAGCAGCGGGGTGAGGCCAAAACGCCAGGGCTGAAGACTGTTTAGGCGCCAAGGGCCCTAGAGGCTTGCTGGAAGAGGATGGGGTGGGGCCCGACTGTGAGTGCTTGGGCTAGTGAGTGGGTAGAGCCCAGCAGGGTGGGCGGGCCTGTGCTGCCGTGTCCTGTGGGGCTCCCCTCGAACCCACCACACCTTTGTTTTATCCTCAGCCTGGGAGGTGGCAGAAGGACTCCGGAAGACCTCCCAGGAGAAGCTGGTGCTGCAGTATGAGGATGCTCTGAACAAACTGTCCCACCTGACTGGCGAGAGTGACCCTGGCCTGTTGGTGGAGAAGTACCTGGAGCGTGAGTGAGCACTGCATGAAGGAGGAGGCGGGGACATAGGACCCTGCATCACTTGCCCTTGGTCGGGGCACTCCAGCCTGTCTCCTTTCCCCATTCTTTGTGCTTGGTGCCCCTCAGGTTTAGAACTCTGTTTCTTCCTCTCTACATCTACCCTTCTCCCTTGAGTTTCCTTCCCTAATCCACATCTGTTCTTAAACCCTCCTTGCTGTCTGCTTCCTCTCCCTGCTGCTGTGTTTCTTGAGGTCTTCCTAGATCTCCTTTCCCTGTACATCTGCGTCTCTCAGTGTGTTGGTGTCCCTCTGAGGTGTCCCCATCTCAATCAATCTGACTTGATAGTTTCTGTGTCCTTGTGTTTTCTTTAAAATTTTTATTTATTTATTATTTATTTGTGTGTGTATCCCTGTGGAGGCAGAAGATGAAATTGGAGCCCTGGAGTTGGAGTTATAGGCAGTTGTGAGCTGTCTGACATGGGTGCTAGGAACTGAACTCAGGTCCTCTGGAAGGGCAGCAAGTGCTCTTGGCTGTTGAGCATTTTTCCAGGCCTGTCCTTGTGTTTTTATCTGTTCATTTTTGTCTCTGTTGTTCTGCCTTTGTCTCCATGTCTTGGCATCTCTTTCCCTGCCTTTAGTGAGTCCTCTCTTTCTGTTTTCTACATCTCTGCCTCCATCCCTCTGGACCTCCCTGTTCTCTCCCAGTGGAGGAGCGCAACTTCGCAGAGTTTAACTTCATCAATGAACAGAACTCAGAGCTGCATCACCTTCAGGAAGAGATCAAAGAGGTGAGCAAGGCCTTCCCTTTTACCTCCTCCTGTCCCATCCCCTCCCTCCAACTCCTATACCCCTACGCTTGGAGCCAGCCAGCATCCAGCTCCTGTCCCTGTAGATGCAGGAGGCCCTGATCAGTGAGCGTACCATTCAAGACAACCAGCACTTGCAGCAGGAGCAGGAGTGCAGGGTTTTGCAACAGCAGGTGGACAAGGTGCATGCTGAGACTGAGCAGCTGGAGGCCCACTTCCAGGTCCTCCGAGCTCAGCTGGAAAAGCTCAAAGCTGGTAAGTGCCTTTGGGTTCCCTCTCAGCCCCAGCTTCTTCATTCAGAAGGATGCAATGGGCCTGTGGAGGGCTGGCTACTAGGAGGCATTCCACAGTGGGCCTGCATTTCTTCCTCAGTTTATTATTTAAAACTTTGTTTTGCTACCACAGTGGATTCTGTGCCTGTCACAGACGAATTCACATTGTGGGGTGATGAGGTGCCTAGAGTCCATCCTTCCTGGTGCTGTCATATGTCCCTGCCCCTCCTTCTTGTTTTCAGGGCAGCTGGCTGAGCTCTTAGGAGACTGACCACTCTGCCTTTGGGTCTCACTGCCACCCATTGTTCACCCAGTCCTGTGCCTTCCTCTTCCTGAGGCCCTGGAAATGGGTTGCATGCCCACTCCATAGGCTTTTCTTGGGAGTCTAATGGGGTGATGAGGAAGGTAAAGATGGAAAGGTACAAAAAGGTGGTGGTGGAGGCAACAGGAGGACTGCTGTGACTCATAGCAGAGCTCAGCATGTGGGCCTTTCTCTGATGCACAGACATATCTATAAGTACAGTACATCTGCATATGTTCTCCTTGGAAACTTAGAAAGTTTTTGTTGGTTTTTCTTTTTTACATAAATGGTGTGATGTTCTGTTAATTACAGTGCTATTTTGATTTTTAAAATTCAGCAGTATCTTGGAGTATGTCAGTAATATTGGAATACGGTAATGTGGTAATACAAATATTGTAGGATGTGCAGTGCTGTCTTGTCTTGGTTTTGGCATATTCCATTCCTTGGTATGAGCATCATCTTATGGGCTGTCCACCAGAACCAAGGACTGCATAGCTTCAACCATAGGCATTTCTTACCTATCAGTCTCGAGGTCAGAAAGGCTGGTTCATCTGAGGGCTGGGAAAGAAAGGTCTGTCCCTGCATGCCTCCTTGGCTCCAGCTGGTGTCATTTCCCTGTCTCTTGATACCATCTCCCCACTGTGGCTCTGCACCATACTTCTCTGTTATGCTTATGTATTTATTTATTTTTCTCTGTGTGTCCCAGTGTGTGGGTGTACTTGTGTGCAGGTACATATGCACATGTGTGCATGCTCCCCTTTGTTTTATGAAGTCATTCATCCTGTTTGATTAGGGGATACCATGCTCCAGGTGGCCCTGTCTTATCCTAAGCGTGCAATGACTATATTTCCAAATAAAGTCCCATTTTGAGGCACTAGGGAGATTTGGACTCCAATACATGAATCTGGAGGTTCACAGTTCACCTTGAGTGTTGTGGCAGTTGCAGAGTTACCTGTGTCTTTACAGGGGAATGTTTAGTTCATTTCCAGTGGTTTGCTATTAACAGCAAAGCAACCGAGACCCCTTTTAGAAAGTTAAACACAAAACAGAGAAATAAAATATGTGTTTATAGAATACTCAGAATGCAATAAAACTTCTAGAAGGTAGTGGGGCTTGATGGGCCCCCATGGTAAGAGCTGGAGGTATGACCTGTGGGAGGCTGGTCATAGGTTTGTGACTCAGCTGTGATGCCTCTACCTTCATAACAATAGCTTGTTAACTAGTTAAATACAAGTGGCCACATGGGGGCTGGTGCCACTGGGGTCACAGTAGAGTATCTTCCAGGGTGCATGAATTCTGGGTGGAATCTGAACCCTGGGATCATGGGGTTGGTGGAAATTAAGTTTATTTCTAGTTGAGATGTGCTACCAAGGTTTCCCTGAGCCCTGAGGCCAGGCTGGCACTGGGTTTGGCTGTCTGAACTGAGCCCACCCATTTCAGTCTTTGAATCTTGACTCCTCCCTGGAGACAGGTTGTAGTACTGTCCTGAATGAGGAGAGGGCAGGTGTCCTGATGATGTGTCCCTTCCTGGCCCCAGATGTTCAGCTTCTCTTTGACAAGGCTCACTGTGACAGTAGTGTCATCAAGGATCTCCTCGGTGTCAAGAGCTACATTCGGGACAGGGACATGGGCCTCTTCCTGAGCACCATTGAGAAGCGGTTGGTGCAGCTCCTCACAGTGCAGGCCTTCCTCGAGGTCCAGGTGGGTGGGCAAGGGCTTGGGTGCTAGGGCCAGGCCTGGCTAGGCCTGCACTGACCCTGGGCTTTCACACTCAGAGCCGCACCTCTTTGACTGACGCTGCCCTTCTTGCGCTGGGCCAGAGCCAAGAGGATCCTCCAAAGAAGACAACCCCACTCCAGCCTCCTGACAACCTGTGAGGCTTGGGGCAGGATAGGGAGGGAACTGGATGGAAGACCAATTTGTAGGCATAGCCTTGAGGGGCGGAAGGGAGCTTGGAGTCAAGTGGGAAAAGGGCGGTACTGGCTCATCACGGGGAGGGGTCAGGCATGGGACAGCGGGAATCTGTGCATGAGGCAGAGCTTCGAGACCAGACTTCCCATCTTCCTCCTACCCTAGTGAGGACCCCTCAGGTTTTGTGGTCAAAGATGACTACCCCATGAGCAAGGAGGAGCTGCTGAGTCAAGTGATGAAGTCGGTGAGAGTGAGCCCTCAGGGTTGGGACAAGGACTTCCGCTGCCCATCAGGACCCTAATGGTGCCCACCCCTAGGTGGAGCTCCAGGACCTGGCTGAGGCCTCGAGGAAGGACAGCAGCCCAAGCTTGACCTTCTCCAATACCCAGCTCTCCCTCTCAGGTCCTGTTCTGGGGATCCCTAAGAAGAGCACCATGGTCCCTGGGTCCATCCTGAGCTACAAGACTAGCCGAGGGCGTGGTGACTCCATAGGTCATGTCACCTTTGGCGATTCAGGCTCTGGTGCAGGCCCTGTGACCTTGGCCTCTACTAATGCCAGCGGCGTCTCTGTGGGGGGCCATGGGAGTTTCAAACAGGCCAGCTCTAGCAGCTACCTGGGGTCTACTGGCTATGTGGAGACCAGCCAAGGCCATGAGAGCATAGGTGGTGGCATGCAGAGCCAAGAGTTGAGTGGAGGCCCTGGCTCCAGCAGTGGCCAGGCATGTAGTACCCACCCTGTCCCCAGCACTGGGCCCAGCACGTCTACCAGCAGAGACTCCCAGGGTTACCACTAAGGGTGCAGGTCCCTGCCTGCCTCAGCGCTTGGAAGGTTTTCTAACCTCTGATCCCCTTTTTGTAAGGACTCTCCCATCCCTCTAAGCCCAGGCCTCTGTGTCTCTGCCTTTTTCTATCTGCCCCTCATTGTCTCCTTGGCTCTGACCCTCTGTTGTTCCTCATCCTCCTTGCTTCCTGTCTCTAGTCCCCCTCATCTCTCTCCCAAGCTCTCCTGGTATCTGGTGCTCTTGTCTCCTCATCTGACTCCTCTACTGATTAGGTGTGCTTTGACAATAAGAAATAAAGGCCAGAGCCCAGCTCCTACTCAACCTGGTTACAAATGTTAAAATATAGCTTCTTCATCCATTTCCAACTCAGAAGAAAATTTGTGAGCCCCTCCCACCCTCCCTCCCTCCCTCCCATCCATCAATCCATCCATCCATTTATTTTCTGAATGTTCCCCATTTCTGGCTCCCCTGGGGTCTGTATCAATCAGGACTATCAGAGTTATACTGCAGTAGCAAATAGCCTCAGAATCTGGCCCAGTGTAGCTAATGTTTCTCTCCAGTCCTCTTGCTCCTTTGTAGGTTAGCTGGGACCTCTGCTTCACCTTACCATCTTGGGAAACCTCTATCTGGAGAGGTGACCCAGGGAAAGAGAAAGCAATGCAAAACATGTGGCAGCTCTTGGAGCTTTAGGTGGGTCCAGCAGTCTCATCATCCACATCTACTGGCAGAGCAGGCTCTACCCTCACACTGAAGGCAGGGTGGGTGGGCGGACGAAGGGTTGTAGGCAGCCTTGACTGGCCCCACAGTGGGCCAATATGGCCTCAGTTTTGGACCGAGGGGTATTAGGACATGGTGGACATCTATCTAGTGGAGTTGCACCTATTGCCCTGTAAAAATTAAACCCAGCTAGCTGGGATAATTGTTAATTTTGACACTGGGGAGGCCTCTACCTCCCAGGTAGATCTCTGTGAGTTCAAGGCCAGTCAGGGCTATATAGTAAGACCCTGTCTCAGCCCCTGCCCCCAACAAACAACCCAGCCAAATCCAGACAGAATTTATTACCCACTTTCTGGGCCTCACTCCCTCCAAATGGATGAAAACCGCCTGTGCTTCAGAGGGACTTTGTGAGAATAAAAACATTCAAAGCATGTGAAATACCTGACATGAGGTGAACACTCCAAAACACACTGTTCCAGGACCCCGAGGAAACTGGAATCAGATACCTGAGCTCCTGATGGAGACTGGCATAGACACCCAGTGCACATTACATCACCCCTGGATGACATAATCCCTACCCAGAGTCACTGCTGTGCACGAAGCTATTAAACTATTTATAGGATAGTGAGAAAGAACCTGTACAGTTGAGTTCAGATTTTCCTCTAAGATTGTTTTCAGTTTCTTTTTGGTTGATTCCCCAGAATCAGAGCCACAGGCTATGGAGGCTGCTGTGCATTTGGGAGGTACAGGTGGCTAGAAGGTAGAAACTAGGAACAGCTTGGGCTCTTTGGGAAACGTCAGGCCGGACAGTGAAGTGTGATAGGCTGGCCAGCATGATCTGGTGAGCTAGTGCATGGGAATTCTCCCATGACGTTTCCATCTTGAGGTGATTCAGGGCAGGAGAGATGCTGATACAGTGAAGCCAGTGGGATGGGGACTCCTCCACAACTGTGTAACTCTGGCAGAAACAGGTTAGCCTGGAATGATAGTGCCTTCTCAGGAGGGTAACACATCAGAAGATGCAGTAAAACATGGCTAACACCCTTGCTCTGTGATGTTCTCACATCATGTTAGGGACACTCAGGGTGATAACTTTCAGGGAGAGAGTAGACAGGAGCAGGGCAACAGATGGAGGCTGTCATGGCCAGAGTGTGTCCCAAGGCTCTTGCTTTGGAAACAGTTCCCAGTGTTGAGAGGAAGGGAGTTCAGTTTAAGTTTCTGCTGTCACTGGATGAGACTCATTAAAATCTTAGCTGGATTTGGTGGCTAAATTATAATCTCAGCACTGAAGAGGATGAAGCAGGAGGATCACCATGAATTTGAGGATAGCCTGGACTGCAAAGTAAAACTATCACAAATCAAAACAAAACAAAACAAAACAACAAAGAGTCTTCATAAAGGATGGGTTTGACCCCTTTCCCTGTTTCCTGCACATTTGATGATGTCTGCTATGTCACAGGGCTTTGTCAGATGTGTACCCCTTGACCTTGGACTTTCCAGTCTCTAGACTGTAAGAAATTTCTGTATTTTTAAAATTTTAACAGGGTCTCATGATAGGTCAGGCTGCCTGTGAACTTGCTATGTAGCTGAAAATGACCTTTAATTTCTGATTCTCCTGCTTCCACCTCCTGAGTGCTGGGATTACATATGGACATCACTATATGGGTCTGAGTTTGGATCTGGAGTGTCTCAGAGCCTGTATGTTGAAGGTTTGGTTACCAGTCTGTGGTAATATCAGGATAGACTGGGACCAACTGGGAGGAAGTGAGATCATTTGGGGGGCGGGGTTGCATGCCCTAAAAGGGGATCTTGGGACCCCCAGCCCTTCTCTTTCTGCTTCCTGGACTTCATAAGGTGAGTTGCTTTATTCCATACAGGCTCCTTCCATGTTCTCTCTCCCCACAGGCCTGAAAGCAATGGTGTCAAGCAACTATGAACTGAAACTGGGTTAAAGCAAACCTTCCCTTCTCATAATTTTATCTCTGATGCTTTGTCACAGGTGTTTGGGTGGTCCAGATCCACTGAGTTCACCCCTTGCTACTTATCTTCCCTGAGACTTTTACAGTTATATTTCTTAACTATATTTAAATAAGAGCAAAAACAAAACAAGAAAATGTGGTCTACAGAGTTGGTTTTAGGGTAGTCAGCATTACATAGACTTTGTCTCTAAAAATAAAATGGTGGTGCACGCCTTTATTCCCAGCACTCAGGAGGCAGAGGCAGGCGGGTCTCTGTGAGTTCAAGGCCAGCCTGGTGTACACAGTGAGTTTCAGGACAGCTGGGGCTACAGGGAGACCCTGTCTCAAAAAGACAAAAAAAAATGCCCAAACCTTTATACATCTCATATTATCTAAAATACATTAAGAATTAGAAAATTGGAGAGATTGCTCAGAGGTTAAGAGCACTGACTGCTTTTGCAGAGGACCCAGGTTCGAATCCCAGCACCTACATGGAAGCTAACAGCCATCTGTAACTCCAGATCCAGGGGATCCAATACCCTCTACAGGCATTACATGACATGGGTGCACTTACATGTAGGCAATACACTAATACACATAAAAATAAAAAAGAAAATTGTAAAAGTTTGGGACTGGAGAAATGGCTCAGTGGTTAAGAGCACTGGCTGCTCTTGCAGAGGACCCAGGTTCGGTACCCAGCACCCACATGGCGGCTAACAACCATCCATAAGTTGAATTCTAGGGGATCCCATACCCTATTCTGTCCTCTGTGGACACTGCAGGGCATGGGTACACTTACATACCCTTTTGTGTGTGTTTTGACAGTTGCTTGATGCAGGATATTCCACAACACTGGAGTCCAGGGTGGGATGTGTGTTTGTGTGAAACCCTCCTGAGGGCATGAGCTTCCGGCTGGGTTTGGTGCCTTCTCCTATCTCCTAATGTCTCCAGGGTCTAGCTGGAACTATATCTTTGTCTAGTGCCACTGCAGCTTCCAGAAGGGTTCTGCTCATACATTTTCAGTCCTCTGCGGGGCAGGCAGGGATCTCCAGAAGTCTCCTCCAGTGTCTTCCTGAAATGATTTTGTAGTAGGAGTTACTGATTCACCCAATCTGAAATAAAGTGGCACAAAAGTCAGATTCGGTTCCAAGTGAAGTGAGGTGACAGAATGCAGAATGGGACAGAGCCAAGCACCTGAGAATGATGCCAGGATGGGGCTGTTGGGAATGTGCCTGTGGAAGGTCACAGGTGCTGCTAAGGAAGGGTTTTGCCAAGGTAAAGGGCACAGCTGGTAATGACACATGGAAGAGAACTGGGCAGAGAGGACAGGAAAAAGGAAGCCACAAGAATGTGGAAAAGGAAAAACCTCGGCTTGCCCCACCTGGAGGATTCTTTATTCTCCCTGAGGTGAAACCCACATAGCACACATGAAAGGTTTCTAAGAAATTTTTATTATTTCTCCTTTATGTATATGCGTGTATTGCCTGCATGTATGTAAGTGCATTCGTGTTGTGCAGTGCCCACGGAGGTCAGAAGAGGTTGTTGGATCCCCTGGAACTTGACAGACAGTTGTCAGCTGCCATGTGGGTGCTGGGATTCAAACCTGGGTCTTCTGCAAGAACAGTCAGTGTTCTTAACCGCTGAGCCATCTCTGCAGCCCCACATGAAAGGTT